TTTTTGCATAATTTCTTAATGTTATGAGGAAATGTTCATTATACAATAGTTGACAAAAAGCAGTATCAAATTTTGGGAAAAAGTTATACATTTGGAAGATAATACATCAAATTATAAATAATTAACATTGGTTGGTGATTCTGAGTTATTCTCACTTTCTTTAAGCTTTTTCTGTTTTTTAAATTTTACTAGTGAATGTTGGTAATTAGGGAGGAAAATGTGGGTTGTTTTTTTTTTTCCTGACCGGTAAGGGGGTCATAACCCTTGGCGCGTTGTGGTCCGCACCACGCTCAGCCAGTGAGCGCACTGGCCATCTCTATATAGGATCCGAACCTGTGGCCTCGATGCTACCAGCGCCGCACTCTCCCGAGTGAGCCATGCGGCCGGCCCGAAAATGTGGGTTTTTTTCCTTGCGTTAATTGTGCCTATCTTATGGAAGGTACGTAAGTAATGTCATTTTGAAAGCATAGTACAGTACCAAGTTCTGAATGTTCCATAATAGACACAGTGTAAATTGGAGTGCCTCATTAGTACTTCACAGCTTCCACTCTGTGCCTGCAGTAACCTATGTGCCTGCAATTTCCTATCTTCTGAATCTAGAGGAGATAGAAGGAAACTAATATTTTTGTTTTTTGAGTACCTCCTGTGTGCTGGTATTTCATCTAATATTCACAACAACCCAAAATGTGGGACCTAAAGGTATTTCCTCAGTTTTACAAATGAGGAAATTGAGAGTCAGAGATGAAGTACCTGGCCCAGAGTCACATAGCTGGTAATTGCCAGTGGCAGGATTTTGGCCAAGTATGTCAGACTCCAAAATCCACGCTCTCTCCATTGTTACCCTTAGATGTGTTTTGAAGTTGCGGTACTTTGATTAACTATTGGAAAGCAAATTTTGGGTGGTGGGCATATATTTGAAGCACTTTTTTGAACTTACGAAAGCAAATGAATTGGGAAATACCATCAAAGCAGGATGGGTGCTTATAAATGTGCATTATCTACCCAGGTATATTTCTCAATACTGGCTCAGTCTTGTTTTTGCTTGTTTCTTCTTTTTATTCAGATTATAATCCATATCCAGTCAAATATGTTGGAAACCCTTATAGAGATACTAAATAGTGCTGCAGAAGGAAATTTACCAAAATTTGTGAAAAAACATGAGTTCTCAGAGGAAGTGGTGAGTATGCAGATGCTGCAGAAATCATTTAAAAGTGAAAGGGTACTCTTAAAAATGTCCACTTAATGTCTTAATTCTGTAGCCATCCTTCTTAAAGAGATCCTCAAATATGGCAGCCTCTCTGTTGTTCCTGTTTAAAGGCTTCAATGTGTGAGTGCAAAGATTTTTTTCTTCCAACAGAATGTATCCTCTGCAATTCCAGGAAGATGTTTTCCTTCTGCATGATTCTTTTCCCTACCCTGTTTTTATGGACCCAGCTCTCTTTTTCTTCTGGATGACAGATTTATACTTCTTTCGTTTCCCCTCAAGCCTCCAATACCTTTTCTCCACTTCTCACTCTGTTGATAAACTTGCCTACCCTGTTTTTATGGACCCAGCTCTCTTTTTCTTCTGGATGACAGATTTATACTTCTTTCCTTTCCCCTCAAGCCTCCAATACCTTTTCTCCACTTCTCACTCTGTTGATAAACTTGATTCCTGTTTTGTGGAGAAAATAGAAGTAATCTAAGAGACCGACTGCCACCTCAGCAGCCTCTGGCTCCATTCCCTGTATACTCATGGTGACTGCATGTACCTGTACAGCCAGCCTCTGCAGTTGTGCCCTAGATCACACACCCTCTGACCCATTCCAGGGCAGCAGTTTAGAATTTGTCTCACTCTTTTTTGAGCATCATCACTATCCTCTTCCCTATGGATCATGCCTATCAGCAAACAATAGGGTGTAGTATCTCTCATCTTTAAAAAAAAGTCGCTCCTACAAATGAAAAGACATACCATGTGTTTAGGTAGGAAGACTCAACCTCATAAAAATTCAGTTCTTCCCAAGTTACTGTGATAATGTAATATGATCCCAATAAAAATACCACTGTTTTTTCTCTATTTAAAGTTTAGTTGAACGAACAAACAAGCAAAAAATAGCTGGGAAAACGCTGTGAAAGAAGAGCAATAACAAGTGCTAGGCCTAGCAGATATTAACGCATATTAAAGCTTCCATAATTCAAACTGTGGTGTGGCTCATGAGTAGGCCAACTAATGAGACAGAATAGAAAGTCCAGAGATAGACCCAACTGCATGTGCAAATTTAGTATAAGTTAAAGGCTTGCATCTCAAGTCAATTGGGATGGATAGACTTTTTAAAGAAGTGGTACTAGAATAAACCAATGGAAAAAAATAAAATTTTATATGTTCTTATACCACAAACCAGGCTAAATTCCAAATGGATGAGATATTTAAATTTTAAAAACAAAACTATACAAGAACTGGATATAAATATTGGTGAATTATTTTATATCCTGGGAATGGAAAGATTTATCTCTCGGTCAAAATTCAAATCAGTAAAAGAAAAGATTGATAAATCTGACTTCATAAAAATTTTTTAAAACTTTTTTTTTTTGGTGTGGCAAAAAGACAAATAACAAGTTGAAAGAAAATACTTTAAATTTTTAATCATACAGACAAAGGGCTAACTAATCTTAATATATAAAGAGCTCCTTTTGAAAATTGTGAGAAAAGAACCAATAATCTTAAAGAAAAATGGGTAGGGGATATGGACAGAGTTCACTAAAAAAAGAATTGTGAATGGCCTTTAGACATTTGAAGATTCTCAACCTTGCTCATATTAAGAGAGATGCAAAAATAAAACTATCCTGTAATATTTCTTATACCTTAAATTAGTAGAAATGTGAAAGTTTGACAACTTATTCTGTTGGCAAGGCTCTGAGGAAATGGACACTCTCATCTTATGCTATTAGAGGGATTGAAAATTAGTACAACCCCCTAAATTAGTAGAAATGTGAAAGTTTGACAACTTATTCTGTTGGCAAGGCTCTGAGGAAATGGGCACTCTCATCTTATGCTATTAGAGGGATTGAAAATTAGTACAACCCCTGTGGAGAGCCATTTGAAAATATCTAGCAAAATTACAAATGAATTTACCCTTTGACTCAATTCTCCCACTTCTTGGAATATATTCCAAAGATGCACTGGCAAAAATAAGTTTGAGAAAAAACAGAATTGGTTGAAAGATAATACGAATCTTTCCATGAACTTTTTGAAGTACCATTGTATATGTGGATCACCTAAATATGTTACTACGTGAAAAAAGCAAGGTGTAAATATTTGGATTTTTGAAAAATACAATAGATGGAAGAACCAAAACTTAATCAAAACAGTTGTGAAAGAATGAGGATGAGGGATGGAAGCATGACTTCTCTGAATGTACCTTGTTTGTATATTTTACTTTGGAATCATGTTATGTGTCTTGCAAAATTATAAAACAAGGTTAAATAAAAATGCAGAGAAAAAATTTACTAAAAATTGAAAGCAAAATGAAACAAATGAACCCATGTGTCACGTTGATGGCTTAAGTACAGTAAGAGGAATTATTACAGGTCATTTGAAATATAGTAATTTGTACATCTCTAGGAGCATATAACTTAAGGGAAAAAAAGAACTGTAAAGAAATGATAGACTATTGACAGTGATCATATTGTTAGTGATAACACACTGGTATTATGATTTTGACTAACAAGTGGGCCCATTGGTGGATCCTTTTCCCTCCCTCTTTTTCTCCCTCCTTCCCGTGTCTTTTATAGTACGGGTCCAGGTGATGGTTGAGAGGGTATGTGGCTGCTTTCTTCCCCTGCCCACTTGCCTTCCTAGTCCTGTCCCATTTTCTCACTTCCACCCAAAGTCATCTTCCTGCTGGTAAAGGAAGCTTGTCAGGAAACTGATTAACTGGATATGATTAATTTGAAGCTTACTTCTATTTGAGGGCTCAGCTCTGTGTGGGTTGTGACACACCCAAACCCTTATGGAGTAAGTTTAGAAAAGTAGGGGAACTGGAAATATGAACAAATTTTAAAGTGCATAGTTGTGTGTGTGTACGTGCACGTGTACATGTGTTTGCAATACTAGTGCAACTCAGTTTTCTTAACAGCATTCGTGTTGATCAGTCATTCCTTAGACTTGGTCTGTCGATATGTTGTCACCCGTTTATATGACTTAAGTATCCAAACAAACCCCACATTGGAAAATACTGATATAAGACTCTTTTATTTCGAAAACTAACCCTTTAGTTCAGTGTACAGTATGTCCTTCATTGTTGTAGGACCACTCAGGGAACTGCTTAATGAGGAATGTATTGATTTATTTAATTCCAGTCACTTTTGAGCTAGTTCTCAATATGCATATGTGAAATTGCATGTCGAGTATTATATTGTAAAACTCTGTATTTTACAAGTGCTGTATTTAGTGTTTATTCCAACAGTTATTAAAAATGTGTTGTGTGGAGATAAATCTATAATCTACATAGGTCCTGTTATACCACCAGAGGAGTATTGAAAAGAATTGTTGATTTTTTGCAATACTGTTACTGAAACCACTCAAACATTAGCTGTTTCTTCATCGATTTCTTTTTTAAAACTCGACAAACAAATTTAGTACAATCTCTTTTCTGCTTAAACTGCAGAATGGTTCTAATGATGCCATATAATATTTCTGTAGTGATATAACAGACCTGATGTAGTTTGTGTAATTAGATCAAAGTTATCTCCAGCTTGGCACATTTGCTTTGCTCCTTTTGGAAGCCATATGCTTCACATTAAGTCATTTCACCTTGAACATGATGACTTAACAAGCTGTTCTTTTTTAAGAACATTAAGAAGTGCTTAAGCTGTTTATCCAAAGGTTCAGTCAGGAGCCCTTGTTTGAAAGGAAGATGTGCAGGGAGCAAATAGTATTGTGGTATATTCAGAAAACAAGAAAAGGATTTGTTAGGAAGCTTGATCCCAGTGAAATTTGATCAAGAAATATTTAGGTTGTATCCTTGGTAAGGATTAAACTAAGTTAAATGTTGATTTTGTTCAGAAAGTAGCTTTACATTCTAATTTTCGGCTCACCCATTTTTGTAGAATTAAATACCATTTGTATACTTGTGACACTACTGTTTATAACTCTGGTCAAGACCATGGCCCAGACTTGTGTATACAACAACCTTCTCAACATATCACTTAGATGTTTCACAGGTATTTCAATCATGTTCAAAACAGAACTCTTGATTTTCCCATCCAAATCTGGTTCTCCTCATCTTCCCCATCTCAGTAAATGACACCAGCCATCAAGTTACTAAAGCCCAAATTGGGAAGATAACTTTAACTCGTCCCTTTCCTTCACCCCTATGATAATAAACCCTTTCAGTTTAACTTCCAAAATATACCTCACATATATCTACTTATCCATTTTTTCTGTACATTTCCCAATCTAAACCACCATCCTTTCTCATCTGGGCTATGATGGGGACCTCTGGAGTAGCCTCAATATTTCTTTACCCTCCATTTCATTCTCTATACAACTTTTTAAGTGTAAATCAGATCATGTTCCACTTTAGAGGCTATGATCGCTTTTAGAATAAATTCCTAAGAAACTTACCATGGGCTATATATAAAGTCCTATGCAATTTGGCCCTGCCTCCTACTCTAATCATTACATTGAACAAAGTTGATTCCCTTGGTATTTGACCTCCTTTCCCTGGTATGTTTCATTGTATAGCATGTACCATTGAACCCCCTTTTGTAAGTTATTAGGTATGGTTTTCAAGCACAATCCTGAATTTTATGTGTAGCTTATGGAATCCCTATAGTCAGTGATACCTCTCTGTGCCTCATTTCCCTAGCTTTCACCACTCTGGTATACTCTGTATCTTTTTACACATGTCTACCAGTTTTTCTTAGAGGATAGAAAGAACAAGGAAGAAATCTTGCAGAGATATGATGATCTGCTCTTGCCTTTTTCTAGCTGGCCAAAGTGAGAGAAAAAGTGAAGGATGTGCCCACCCTTGTGGCCAGATTTGATGAAATCTACGGGAAATTGCACATAAATGGCCAGGTCACCACTTACACTTTGGATGCCCTGCTCTGCCACACCCCCAGGGACAGGAAATCCCACGTGTTGCCATTAAACAAGAGGACAGTCAGCCGTCGGACCTTCCAGCCACTCACCCAATCCCTGTTGGCTGAGTAACCCTAGTTTCAATTCACCTGTGGGTCTGAGGGGCCTTCTTATAGTGAGTTTTTAGCTTCCGTTAGAAATCAGGCATCGGACTTCAGTGGATACTATGCTAACACTTGGTCTCCTACCTAAATTCCTGAGTTCATTGAGTAGGGGCATGCTGATCTGAGAACTCAGTATGTTGGTGTCACTGAGAAGATCTAGACACAGGCAAAGAAGGCTCAACTCCCTCAGAAAAGAGGCTTCCCTGTGTAAACTGCTGAAGGTCCTTGAAGGAACATAGTCACGGTCTCCGGTCCAGCCTCTGGTACCAGAGTGGAACCCAATAAGCACCATCGGGAACAAACTTCATTATTAATGTGATCAACTCTAACTGATTTTCAAGGGAGAAGTTACTTGCAAATTATACCCTTGCTGAATTCAGGAGGTCTGAAACCCTATTCTAGCATGTTGGGAAGCAGCCCAGGATGCTCTGCCATCATGTTTCTCTTTAACCCTAAACAAGATCTTGATGCCTCATTTTTCCATCTGCAAAATAATAGTACCTATATGTATTTGCATATCAATTGGAAATTTTTATTCGCAGTTAAGTAGGGTCAAATTTTCTCAAAAATAAGAGAAATAAAAAGGTTCCTGAGCAACTTTCTTGGGATTGTGTTTGTCTTGTTTTCTCAGTAGCACAAACAAAACCAGAATTTAGCTTCCAGAACTGTAAAGAAAGCCAGATTTAAATGATTACTGCTTTGGTCATGTTTGGTAAACAATGTACTATTCAAAATAAGTGCCAATAAAACCACATACTAATGCTTAGTTTCCTATGTGAATTATAAATATTTGGCCCTATAGTGTATCTCGTTTGTTAATGATTTTCTTTCTTCTTTCTTCATGTCTTATTTTTTTTTGTAAAAATAAATATGTCATTAGAGCAGGTCAAAACTTCTTCATATTTATGATGGTTTGAAATAAAGCATCTGGTGAATTTTTACTGTATCTGGTCACCAGTGTGCAGAAGAAGATACACAGTGTGGGTCAAAAGAATTTCTTTTACTGTGTTCTGTGAAGCATTACCAGCCCCACTTAAAGAAACAAATTTCTTCCTTTATGAATCTTAATTGTGTCTGTGTTTGTGTGGTGTTTTGCAAAAAAAAAAAACCAAAAAACAAAAAAAAACCCAAACCTGATTTCTCTACCTTCAAAGTCTTAGGGAATAATAGGACCTGTTTCCTGTTCTCCACCTTATCTTTTATCTTCTCCAACATTCACAAAGCATTCAAATGGCTATAATGCCCCGGGTGAATGTGGTCCTGGTTGTTAACTAACAACCATTCATTAGCAAAATTAAAAAAAGAAAAAAACATGTTGAATAATAAATAGCAGCAAGGAACTTCCCTATCCTTGCTTCCTTGAGCAGTAGGCACTGGTACTCTGCTGACTGCAAAAACAGATCCATTCCACCTGTTCTGGAAGCCTTAGCACATAGGTAACTAAGTGCATAATGATCACCCCCCAAATAATAGGATGATTCTAAAGTCTTAAAGTCTTCAAAGAAAATGTGTTCAGTATAAGCTGTGGTGGACATTTCAATTGTTTAAAATTTGGTAATTTCTTTGAAAAATGGTGTTTTTTTGCTATCAGTAATTTGCAAAAGCATCTACTTATTCCATTAATGAGAATATTTGATTGGACAGAACATCCTATTCGTCAACTCTGCTATGTGCCTTAGCATATTGTTTTTATTTACTGTAGATGTCTGTTGCTCTAGAATCCAAAAATCAGGATGGTGAGTACAGTTAATAAGGTGGTATCAGGGATAGTGTTCTGGTTATCTGTTGCTATATCAAAAACACTCCAAAATTTAGTGGCTTAAAACAGTGCCAATCATTTTATTATTATTTCTCGTTATGCTAGGAATTGGCTGGGCTCAGCCAGGCAGTTTTTACTCAGGGTCTCATGATTATCATCAGATTATGGCTGGGACTGAAGTCATCTCAAAGGCTTCCTCACTTAATATTTCTGGCAATTGATGCTAAGACTCAGCTGGGGCTGGAACGTCTACACACAGCTTCCTCAGAGTATGGTGGCAAGGTACTAAGAGTGAGTGTCCCAAGAGGACCAGACAGAAGCTGTTGTCACCTTTTATGACCTAGTCTTGAAAGTTACATAGCGTTCACTTCCACTAAAGTCACAGGCCCACCCAGATTCAAGGGGAGGGAGCATATATCCCACCTTTCAATGGTAGGAATGTCAAAGAAATTATGGAGATGTTTTAAACTATCAGTGACAGTTTTTTTCCAGCAAGCTCTTTAAAGTTCAGGTCACCACCATCAGGCATTCATCTTTCAGCTATCCTCTATACTGCAGCCGGAATGAGATTGTCAAAACAAGTTTGTCATTTCCCATTTAAAACCTCCTGAGGACTCCTAGCATCCCTCTGGATAAAGCTCAGACTCTTACATGGTTCAGAAAGCCCTTCATAATCTGGGCAGGGTATGCCCACCCACTCCCATCCCTTGCTTCTCCACACCCCTTCTTCCCTTCTCATTGACTGGCTAACTCCTACTCATCTTTCAGGTCACAGCTTAGACATCTTTTCATCTGGAAGGCTTTCTGAACCCACCTACTCCCTCAAGTCTCAGTTAGGTGAGCTACACATGTGCCTTAACTTATCAAAGCGCTTGTCATGATGCTGTCACTGCCTGTTGTCTATTCTTTACTAGACTTAGGTGCCATGTCAAACCTGTTCACTGTGTGCCTGGTACCTAGTACAGTAGGGAATGTATCAGAGGATTAGGACTTACTTTACTCACTCATTATGTAACTGTTGGTGGTTATCATGATTTCCCGTGGACAGCCTTTTATCTCCAGTGCCGTTCACTCAGTGCTATGGTCTGAATGTTTGTGTTTCCCCCCGCCCCAAATTCATACATTGAAATCCTAACAGTCAAGATGATGATGGTATCAGGAGGTGTGCCTTTGGGAGGAGATAGGTCATATGGGCAGAGCATTCATGAATGGAATTACTGCCCTTATAAAAGTGGCCCAAGAGAACTTGGTCACCCCTTCCACCATGTAGGGACACAGTGAGAATGTACTGTCTATGAACCAGAAAGCAAGCCCTCACCAGCCCAAATCTGCTGGTACCTTATTCTTGGACTTCCCAGCCTCCAAAACTGTGAGAAATAAATTTCTTTTTTTTTTTCCTTTTTGTCTTTTTTCGTGACCGGCTACGGATCGCAACCCTCAGTGTTGCGCCCATACCGGACTGGGACCGGCAATGGGATCGCAACCCTCGGTGTAGCAGTGCGCCACCGGGCCGGCCCTGAGAAATAAATTTCTATTGTGTATAAGCCTCCCAATTTATGGTATTTTGCTATAGCAGCCTGAATGGACAAAGACACTGAGTCTAACACTCCACCCTTAGACCCGTTTCCAAGTTTTGCTCAGTCCATTATGCACCCTTTTCTCTTCCCACCTAAAATGCCCTCACTCTTTCTCCATCCATCCTGCTCTGCCCATCTTGCAAGGTCCAACTCATGTGGCACCTTTTCCATGAGTCATTCCCAGTGTATTTAAACACACGTGGATTCTCCATTCACTTACCAAGTCGATTATTAGCATCTACAAAGGACAGGGCACTATGAAAGGCTCTTAAGATGCCACCGGGAAAAGACAGACACGATCCCCTTCCCAAAGCAGAACATTTTTTGCCTGCCATGTTGACTCCAAGAACCTTTTGGCCTACGTAGTACAGATTACAGAGTGATTAAAGCCCTACTGAAGAATAGACCTGGTTATGAAATAGACCAATCCTGGGCAGTGTTGTCGGCGGTTTTATTGAGGATGACCCAAGAAATACAAACTTTTAACCAATTCATAATGAATATTGCTGGGAAATTATAGTAGGAGCTAAAGATTTATCTGCTACAATTCACATAGGCAAAATTGTAGATTTCATTTTCTTAGTAACTGAATTAAAATTTCTTATGGACTCTAGTTATATTGAGAACCTGAGAATGGGGATCACGGGGAACTTGATCTTGCTTGAAGAATGTTTTAGTCTTTGAGGTAATTATTATGTCTTTTTGGATGTCTTCTCTCCTATCCCTTTTCATAGCCAGGATAATAGCTGAGCATAAGACTGTGGCTCTCAGACTTTAGCATGCATCAGAATCACCTGAAGAGCTTGTTAAAACACAGATTGCTGGGCTAACCCCCAGAGTTTCTGATTCTGTTCATCTGAGGTCAGGCCCAAGAATTCACATTGCTGATAAACTCTTAGGTGATGCTGTTGCTAGTCTGGGCAATACACTCTAAGAACAATTGACATAAGAGGGAGTTGTGTCTCTTCCTGTGGTTGGGAGGCTTCAGCTTTTGACCCATTCTCCAGGTCATCTTTGGTCTCTGTTGTGAGGAGGAGGAGTGGAAAGTCTTGTAAGTATCTGCTGAGTTGGGGGCATTGGTCCCAGCAGGCCTTTCAGAGGCTCAGGCTGGCATGCACTGCTGAGGTCTGCAGGCTCTGCCATCTGCCCCTGCTCATAACTACCCTCACTGCTGCTGCCTCCTGCCAACCCCAATCCCTCCACTGAATTCTTCTGAAGCAGAAGTCCCAAGGCATTAAGATTTAAAGACAATAGAAAATATATCCATTGATTGTTTTCAGATACAAAGAAATCCATGCAACCTAAGGCAACGTATGGCAAAACTGCACAGGGCTTGACTAAAATAACCCACAATTCAAATTTACTTTATAACATTTCTGTCTACAAATTTGACTTGGTGAAATTAAACTTGGTAGATAAAATGGCCATTAAAAAATCACAATGGCAAAAGCTATGATCAGTAAAATTTGGTATGCATAAAAAATGTGTCACAAACCAGATCATTGTAAAATTGATCCCAATGGAAATAATTTCAGAAAAGTAAAAATGAAGTGATACTTTTTAAAAAGGAAATGGTTTGACAGTATTGCATAGAAAATGAATCAAGGAATAAAATTGGCTTAATTGGCATTAGCTCAAAAAGTATCTTTTCAACAGAAATTGATTGCTATTGGTGTACTTCTGATTAAAATAACTTTTTATTCACTAACATGGAGTCAAAACAACGGGATTTTTAAAATGCCTTCTGTTCTTATGGAGCTTGCATTCTGCAAGAGGAACAGGCATAAAATGGATTACTAGGCAAATAATCACATGATTACAATTGGGTAAGTGCTAAGTCCAGGGTATTACACACACACATATATATATAGGTGGCAAGATGACCACATGCGTGTCCAAAGAATTCAGCATGAATGGTGTGGCTGAGCAGCTAGGAGAGAATAAGCAACTCAACATAAGGTCGTGGGGCCAAAGGGTATGTCTCTGTATAAAGCTCAGAGAGTGGAGGAAATGTCATTTTCAATTTAGATTAGCATAATCGTTTCTTTGATACATTGCTGCTCAGGTGGTAGGGAATTCAACAACAGCAGGGCTTTTAATACTAGGGTTTATGAAATAAAAGAAATAAAAGAAAAAATAGTTAACATATAATAAGACTTATTTGTCAGGCCCTGTGTTGTCTCATTTAATCCTCAGGAAAACCCATGAGGTACTGCTATTATCCATTCACAGATGAAGAAACTGAAGCTCAGAGAGGTTATGTTAC